GAAATTTCTTGCAAATAGTATTTTTGAATTTATTTATTTTGATCTTATACAATATTGGGAATACTTAAATCCATTTGAAGTTGTTCCGTTTGCTATATATTAATTTCCATTTATTCAATTTTCCACCAAAAAGCAGATCATTCTAACTGCATAAAACTTTGATTTCTAATTTTTAGAGTTTTCTTACGATAAACAAAATTCATTTTATGGATATATGACTATTATCATATTCAAAGGGTTGCTACATCCAAAATTGCTTTAAATTACGATAGCAAATTCAACTGTCATCTTTTGAGCAATAAAGCCTGGGTTCAAATGTACAAAATGGGTATGCATTTCTTGAGCTTGAGTTGTCATCGTGGTCTTCCTCTAATAATGTAAAGATATTGCAAGAAGAACACAATCTGTGTCTAAAAGATACAGAGAAGCTGATGATTTTACTGGTGTTAAATTCAGCAGCATGGGTGGAACTTGTCACCTTGTCTTGTGATGATACAGCCTACTAAAATCATGTGTCTGGATATTGAAAAAAAAAAAATAATTCGACAACAAATATTTCTGGCACGGACACCAAGCCACCCAAACATAAAAGGGAAATACGTAAAAAGGAAGTAAGCATCGGACATCTGTCAAGTACTGGCAGGTCCACTTACCAAATCTTATTTGCTACAAATATATATGTTTATTTTTTTTTTTAAATATGATCCAGACCAGGGAAAACCAAAAAGGGTACAGAGGTTTTAAATTCCTTACATGGAGTAAGGGTTAACCTAGAATCGAGATCACTACACAAAACAAAGAAAATGTTACTAGACATCGGAAAGGTATTTGTGAAATACATGTACTTGAGCATTTTATTGCACGTTGATAACAGAGCTATGTCATATATATATGTATCATACTATGAAAGTTTTATTCCTTCAACTATAAAACTGTGGAATAATCTTAGTTCTGAAGTGAAAATGTCTCCTTCTTTATCGATTTTCAAGTCAAAATTAAACCAACCTTTTAGTTGTAAACTATGGTATACTCACTGTCAACTACGTAACAAAGCTTTTTTAATGCACACCTAAAAAATCATTATATAAAAGACGAATCTTGTCCGAAACCATACAGAAGATAATGAACACTTTTTTATGGATTGTCCAGAGTATTCAAAGAAATAAAGTAAGAAAAAACTTAAATGAGCTTGATGTACCTTTTGATCTAAGAATTCTTTTACAAGGGAGTTCGGAGTATTCGTTCCAAACGAACCTCAATATTATAAAAAATGTACATGAATATATCAAGTTAACAAAACGTTTTTAATCATATTTTCTTTTTTGATATGCACTCTTGTCACTTTATACATGTTAATAATTTTGATCTGGATCTGTGCGAGTCAGGGTGTGGTTGCGTGTGTGAGTGAGGGTGTGTGTGTGAGTATGTTAGAATGCGTATGTGAGCACACATATTACATTGTATTGTTACCTTGACCTGTTATATAGAGAGGGTTTTATTGCCTGTTGCCCATCTATTCAGTTTACTGAATAAATATTGTTTAAATCAGAGCTATGTCAATACCTTGACCCAAGAACATATCTCAAATGTCAAGGTGATTTCATCAAGGTTTTTAAATGACAGTCAGAACAAATGAATGATTGAGAAATGGCGAGGATTTCTAGAAAAATCGGGAAGGGCGTCCATGTTGTTTGCTTTTTTTGCGTTCCTTTACATTTTCTGAAGTTTTTTGGGATTTCGTTGTTTTGGAATTTTCTTCTTCTTCCTCTTCTTTTTTTTTTGGGGGGGGGGGGTGTTTTTAAATTTTAGTTTGCTTTTTGCTGTTTGCTTTAATTCATGGCGTAGATGCCTTTATTCATGGGTTTATGATTTGTCTTGCATCCTTGGTCCAATAAAAAAGATTGATCCAAAATTTATGCGTGAGTTAAAAAAATCAATATACTTAAGTTTTATTTTTTTTTTCCTTTTATATAAGATTGAATATTAATGGGTTATACATATTTCTGGACAATGGTCAGAATTACACTAAAGTAGTAATTAACTGTAGAAGTGAGTAACACAATCATATATTATTCCGTGTGTGATGTAACAATCACTTGGGGCCTGGAAGTCAACAAATATGGCAGTACCTACATCTGGCCACTAAGTACTTTGTCGCCGATAAAAGCATTTGGAAATTAAGCCGTAATGGACTTGCGTTACCGTAATACGTAATCGCATCAGATGACCGGTGGTGATTTTAGTCTAGGTTTAAATTGAGAGGCTTTGTCCATTATAACGGTCTATCTACCCTTTGTGGCATGACATTGGTTTGGCTTGACCAACTGCTCTCGCCACGGCAGATGTTGCGTCAGACAGGACACACCTGTTTACACACCTTTGGTGACAATGGTGTGGCCACGCGCCCCCGTGTAATATTGCTACTTTACCGTTTTTAACGTTTTATAATCAACAAAAATTAACAATTTTTTTCTTTGCAAAAAAATCTGCTTTGGCTTAA